AAATAATATATACAATATATTTATTATATATATATATATATATATATATATATATATACATATACACACACACACACACACACATACATACATACATGCAGCATGTCACTGGTAAAGTGGACCTTAATGTAATGAAATGTACTGAAGATACTGCAATGCTCTTCCCCCAAATTCTTTGTATAATTGTCAGTAGAATTAAAAAACAAAAACAAATAAATGGCATTCACCATGCTATACCAATGCCGTTAAACTTAAAATTTTTAACTTCCTTCTAAGTTTCATAACAAAACAGACACTCCCAGAGGAAGAAAGAAACATGCAGCTTTATCCGTCAAAGTGTCCGCTTTAGACCAAATAAGTTGCTGATCAAAAAGAAAGATATACACTGTACTTTGTGGTTCACTGGAACCAAAGCAGCAACCCATAGTTCTCCTTAGCTTCTTACTAATCTGGAAAACGTTTCCAATTTATATGCATTTACTGAACAGCCTTATTAAAGGTCAGAACCACTAGCATACTTTCCCCCCTATCTAGGATGCTTAGCTCAGTACCTTAAAGGTTCACCTAGCAAAAACCCTTCTCTACTACATGTAATGGAGACTGTATTTGCTCTGTTAGGCCCAAATCCTGCAAAGCAATATGTGCCCCAAATCCCATTACTTTGCAGTGCCGTCAAGTAGCTCACTATCTTCCCAATTCTATATCCAACACAGTGCAGATTAGAGCAGCTTGGGGCTGCTTTAACCTGTGCTTCTGGCAGTGGTCCCCAATGACGGGGATAACTGGAGGGCAGCTTGCTCTAGTCACCCCTTCTCCTGGCTCCTGAGTCGGTTTTGTGAAGGAAGGTAGAATTTACATCTGACTCTACAGCTGCTGGTGTCTCCCCAATGCCTGGGAGATTTCTTTCAGGGAAGACGTGGCAATTTCCAACCCTTTTGTGCCATCACAGCATTGCAAAGAGGAAGTAGCAGGGCGTAGAATTTGGTCCAATGTCTTTTTGTATATACTGTATTCTGTTCACTGTTTGCATATTCACAGCTTGCACGTTTTTACATTTTGGTTCTAACATGGTAACATCAGTTTCTGGTAACAAGCTATGCTGACCAATTAATGAGGTGCATGGTGAAGGAGGAGCACGTAGGGTTCTGATATTGTAGTTGCCAAGGTGAAGTGGCCTGACAACATTGTGAACCATGTTCTATTTCTTCCTTAGATAAAATCTTCCTGTTTGACAGCTGAATTAATCTGTTTAGTACTCCAGCTTCCAAAAACAGTGTAACTAACATTGAACACCCTTCCTTATATAAGGAAGATGTTCCTCTAATCTAACTACAAATGTGATCCAATAAAAAGCTGGCAGATAATATTCAAGTATGTTTATTTATTTGGCTTTATACAAATCATACATAAAAAAGCATCTATACGTGTCTTTGGTCTTTTTTGTCACGCATTAAAAATACAAACACTAATGAAAACAAAAATAAACCCAGCAGCTTCCTTGAAGACAGAGGAAAAATAAATCATGTCCCAGCTCCCAAATCTCAGGCACACAACTCCCAGCCTTCAAAGCACCACCATCCTGCCCAGGAAAAGACAAGAGCTTTGCAGCATGCCAAATCTGGTCCATTTTTGGACAAAATTCCAGAAATGAGGGCAGTCATAGAGAACAAGCTGTCAACCCTCTCATATACCGAGGGTGCACCAGCCTAAGTGCCTCTACTTTCTCAACTGCGGCAACATATCACCGTGAAAGATGTGGTCCCTCAGGCAGGTAGGTCCCAGGCCATTAAGGGTATGTCTAAACTGGAATAAAAGACCCGCAGCAGAGCCGTGGCTGTCCCAGGTTAGCTAACTCGGGCTCACAGGGCTTGGGCTGTGGGGCTAAACATTGCTGTGTAGATGTTCAGGCTCAGACTGTAGCCTGAGCTCCGGGAACTCGCGATGGGCCCTTATGCCTTGGTTAGTGGCACTGGAAAAAAGTTTTCCTGTAAGTTTCTGCATCCTTGCAAGCCCCCACCCAATTTTCAGACCGGCCTGGGTTTGACTGTATAACCAACTTAATCTATACCAAGTCACCTTCCCGAGTGACGATAAGCAGACCTAGCAACGTAAAACATAGCCATGGTGGCCTGGGTAAATTTTAACCCAGTTTAAAAAGCTAATTATTTCATCAGTGAACACTGGAATTAGGACTTTAAGTAGCTGATGTGTTCATCTGGCTGCCAGTAATAAGAATTATATTACAGCTCCGGCAACTTCCGGGCAGTGCTTGTTTCGGTACTCACAAGCACAGTTGATGTTTGTATATACATGTACACCTGGACCTTTTGGGCTGTTTACAAAGTTCACAGAGTTTTTTGCTACTGTGTGGCTTGAAAGTCAGAATCCTAGAGGCAGTTCCCTTTTAGATACTTTTTATGTATTGTACCATACTGTGCCAGGTCCTCAGCAAGTGTAAATTACGACAGTTCCACTGAACCCCATGGAGCTTTGTTGATGTATAGTAACTATTTAGGGTGAGATCCTCACTACGGCTCCAACCTCTTTACACATGTAAAAGGGCCAGCGTGGCATAAAGTAGCCCTAAAACCACAGTTCTGATGGGAAGGGTGAGGATTATGTTGAAGATAACCGTATGGCTTCCTTCTGAGGGTCCCTTCACAAGCCCTGGGTGTGCTGGCGCTGTGTCAGGAGTGGGGCTGCAGCATATAGTACTACTCAGATTCCAAACAGCGTTAAGGGCTGTGGGACAGCAAAGGACAGATGGCCATAATCTACACAGGCCTCCAGGGCTGTCTAAATTATCCTGGAGAGCTTCTGGAGCCCTTGAAGCAAATTGGGATCAGAAGGGCACAATGGCGACTTAAAGGCACGTTAGCTCCCTCTCCCACCGGGCTGTCAGTTCTACGCTGTGCTTTAATCTCATCCCTAGGTCTTTACATAGATAGACATACTGATATTAGCGTAATTAATAAGGAGTCTCTAAGGTGCCACAAGTACTCCTCATTCTTTTTGCTGATACAGACTAACACGCTACCACTCTGAAACCTGTCACTTTAACTGGATTCATGCCTTTCTTAGCCAATAACTAATGTACGTTAAAATACACCAAAAGTTCTATCATTAAAAGTTTGGGAACAAGTTTTAACAATTTAAACATTTTAAAATCCCTTTGTTTTCCTCAGAAAATAACTATTTAAGTTCTCAACAGTAAAAATAAGAAACTTGTAAAAAGCAACAGAGGGTCCTGTGGCACCTTTGAGACTAACAGAAGTACTGGGAGCATAAGCTTTCGTGGGTAAGCACCTCACTACTTGCATCTGAAGAAGTGAGGTTCTTACCCACGAAAGCTTATGCTCCCAGTACTTCTGTTAGTCTCAAAGGTGCCACAGGACCCTCTGTTGCTTTTTACAGATTCAGACTAACACGGCTACCCCTCTGATACTTGACAATAAGAAACTTGTTTTCCTTCTTGATTTTAAAAATGAGAGTAATAAACAATTCTATAAAGGCAGTAACACACTGCAAAGAGGGCGATTCTTGAAGCAATAAAAGCTGCCCTTATTTCCCTACACAGCTCAATGGGTACTGTTAAAAGCTCCTTTTCTGCCCTGCAGCCTCTAATTAACATCTTCAGATGGCAGGGGTTTGAAATAACTTGGTTAGCAATAAGGAACAAAAGGTGATAAGGGGCAGATGTAATGATTCAACTGTTAAAAGATGTTTTTAAGTGCCCAGAAGAAAAGGGTTTGAAAATATATTTAAAAAAAAAAATCAAAGTTTCAGAATCTGTGTTTCTAATGTCTCTTTCTAATACCTGATACATACCGGTACAATTATATGTGCCTGCACCCAGAGGATAACCAGGTATTATGATAGCCTGGAATTTACTCAAGTGAATGATTTGCCCTCCTCCTACAGGCCAATGATTGTCTAAGACAGGTTAAAACATTTCAGTTTTGGATTGATCACTACTTTACTGTTTCAGGTCATAACACTGAACTTTTAACGATGCTTAAAATAACTTTTATAAACTCAGCCTGGGAGAAAGTTTTAGCAAGTGAAAGATCAAAGGTGGTTGTGATAGCACAGAGACCTGCCTGCTAAATACTTGTTTTTGAAAATAATTAATTTAAGTATGTAGATGGCTAGTTTCATTGATTAACAATGAGGAGGAGGTGCTCTCAAATTATATATACTCACCATGGCACTACTTAACCATAGGCCAGCATTTATAGCATCTCTACCCACAACTATGATGTTTTATTTATTCATGGAAAGATATTATAGGAAGACTCTAATCTTATATTATCTATAGGAAAACTCTAATCTTCAGTCATTCTGTGCTACACACAAACATTCTATATACAAAAAAAAAAACCAGGAGTACTTGTGGCACCTTAGAGACTAACAAATTTATAAACTTGTGCCACAAGTACTCCTATTCTTTTTGCGGATACAGACTAACACGGCTGCTACTCTGAAATCTGAATTCTATATACAGATACAGAATAAATGAATATTGTAGCCTTCCCTCAGCCAGGGAGGCAATTAATGAGATATGTTTTGGGTATATTCTTTATGATAAATGACCAGTTCAATTGAACATTGATTACATCGATGATTTAAGACAATAGCATTTCTTTGAACATCAGGGTATCCATCGTTTAATTATTGCTCTTTGATCTTGTTGACTGAAAAACTTTGGAGGGCGTAACAGACCCAAAGGTCAGGGGAAAAGCTGCCACATCTCATGGATTCTCTGTGTGGTACAAGATACCATTTTTAAAAGTCCCTAAATATATACATACACAGCTCATATGCCAAGAATGGTTTAATAGCTAGGGACTGTTCTTTAGTTGCCTTTGACAAAAGGAAATGGACACACACCAAATGCTTAATGAGCATTCAAGTTGTGACTTTTTAAAAAAAAAATACGTAGATTTCATTATAATACGGAAACACCTTCCTTTATAATCCCTTTGTATCTACATATTGCAGGAGTCTCATGTTGAAATGATAATACCCAACTGATAAGCCTAAACTATGCAGCATTTTTAGACTATGTCTTCATTGCAAAAAAGATGTGTTTCTTGATGTAAAATCCTAGTGAAGACAAGCCACCCTAGGTTTACTTCAACATAGCTAATCAAGGTGAAAACCAGATGAAGAGTAGAGGGTTGACCTCAATTAACTACATCAAGGTACAAACTGCCTGTATCCATTGGCTCCAATAGGATTTTACATTTAAATAGCTCTCTCGAGATAGGTATCTTGATGTAAAACGCACACCTTTTTTCCCCAGTGAAGACCTAGCCATAGAGTTCTAGAGAGGGTGCTTAGTTTTCAATCTTCTGCACTTAAATCTGGCATCCAAATTGTACATTTCAGTGTTCAAATTGTTAGTTAGGGCCCACCCAGTCCTAAAACATACTGAGCACCTCTTGTGAAGTTCTGAGCATCCTCAATGCACAATACCTCATAAGGGCCTTGATTCAGCAAAGCACTCAACCACGTGTTTAAGTCCATCTGTATTCAGCAAAGCACCTAAACGCATACTTAAAGTTAAGTGCTTTGCTGATTTAGGGTCAGGAAGTATTCTGCAGCTTGCAGGATCAGACACTTAAGCATCCAAATACATGTTTTAGATGGGTAAGCATCAATTTGGGTACTCAAGTAGAAAGCCCAAATGTGAAGGTTGAACAGAGTGTCAACCAGATCTGTGAGTAACCTGGCTTTTTACAGTTTGGGTCTCAGTGAATCTCAAACAATGAATCTCAATATTAATTGAAATGCAGATCTGTGTGTTTGCTTAGAATACATATAATGGAAAAATACATAAAATAATATAAAATATACTCAAAATATAAACAGAAGTAAATATTTCTGTCAGTAAATATTTCAAATATGTTGAAACTTTCCATGATTTAATTATTGCTCTTTGATTTCACTGGCTATGTCCTTTTCAGTAGCCATTACTTAAAGTACAGCTGGGAAAACCCTATTGTTCAGCACCAGGAGGCCTGAACTTTACACTGCAAAGCTGACCTTCAAAATTACATGATGACAATGCAGACAGAGAAATAAATACACGAGGGCCTCATGTGGTGGCAATGGGCATTGCTATCGCTAAAAATACCAAGCACATGCATTTCTGTAGCTTAGGTGTCCAGAATGCCTTAATGATTGTCATGTAAAGTATAGCAACATAGCAATACGAGAAATAGCAATTATATTCTAACTGAGTTCTGAAGGGTAGTAATAAAAAAAACCCACTAACAAATAGTAAAGTCAAAAGTATAAATCTAATTTCAAAATAAGAACAGAAGAGAAAGGTTTAAACTTTTCATTTGGCATTCGGAACAGAAGACCTACTGCAGTCAGCAGGCATGCAAGCAGCATGCAACCAAGCAGTATGGCCCTGAAGATGTCACATGGGCCGCAGCTCTGTGCTGATTGGACTGCAGGTTGAGAACCACTGGTCTACATGAAGAACAGGAGTACTTGTGGCACCTGTGAGGAAGCCTCCCAGATAGGATGACCAGATGTCCCGATTTTATAAGGACAGTCCTGATTTTTGGGTCTTTTTGTTATATAGGCTCCTATTACCCCCCCCACCCCTTGTCCCAATTTTTCACACTTGCTGTCTGGTCACCCTACTCCCAGATCACATAGAGAGACTCGCACTAGAAGGGCCAGAGCTAGTAGTAGTAGGGCTTGAGCTAATGTGCTAAAAATAGCAATGTGGACATTCCAGCTCTGGCTCTCAAG